GTACGAACGGTTCTTGCATGAGGCCCATTGTTTTTAGCATGTAGCATTTCACTAAACTGATGACAGAATTCATTTGAATTCAGTCTTTCATCACCTGCAATGTTTCATAAAAAAATTCAACGTTTGCAACAGCTGTGAATTTTTATTCTAGAAAGAAAAGTAAAAAGATGATGAGATGAGATATAACATGATTGTCTAGAAAATAGTTAGCAAGTTATTATAAATAAATATGTACATATCGTAAATCTATATTTTATTAATCAAAATATATTCAATATTAGGGCTGGGTTAAAAAAATCAATTTAATCGATCTGGATCGATTCTCATTCAAATTTGGGAAGATCGATTCATAAGTCACGAGATCGATTTTTCCCCACGGGTTTTGTGTGCGATGATGCTGCACGTTTCCGTGTTGTGTGTCACTCCTGGCTTGCCGTATGTTTACAGCCGGTTGATGGTCAGTGCTAACGTTAGCTCCCAACAACAAGTTGTCTGGGGCTAAACAAAAGAAACAAAGGAATCGTTAACATTACAGCTGATTCTCATGACATGATAACAGATCATGACAACTTTTGTTTGCAAAGTTTTGCGCTCGGACGCAGTAGCAGGAAACGAAGCTTCGAGCAGCTGGTTCTGATGGTTGGACTAAAACTGTGGTATGTAAACATCTGACTGAAACTGTTCTCCTCCTGTATAAATGTGTGAAAGATGTCAGTCTAACAAAATCGTTTGGGTTTTTTTTAGCAATGTTATTTATAATTTTTAGAAACATCTTAATGTAATTCAGTGATGGAATGTTTTAGCTGAAGTACTCTTTTTTTTCTTTCTTTCTTCTTGTTAATAAGTTTTATTGAACAGAAGCTAACAAAAACGTTACAAATATACAATTATCGTACACTCAAAAAAAGAGTGGGCATACGTACACACATATTATCCCACCTCTTCTCCTGTAGCCTTATTCCATCACTTCTTAGTGATCAAGAAAATTATTCTTAGTTTCTTAAAAAACTAATGTATCAACAACACTTTCTCTTGTAATTTGTTTTTAGTTTAAACCCTTTGAAACTTGAGACAGTTTTGTTTCAAGATTAAACTCCAATTTACAAGTTTGCCCTTTGTTTGTAATTTTACCAGTGCACCAAGTTAGAATTAGTTTCTATTATTTACAGAATTAGTTCCTTTGAGAATGTCTTGCATATCAAAGTAAATGTGTTACTGCATGATATCCTTAACTAATTTAAAAATCAATCAAACTGAATCGTGAATCGAATCGAATCGGGAAATTTGAATTGATACCCAGCCCTATTCAATATTAAAACTGTTTTCTGAATATAATGTAACACACATTTATAATTAAGTATAGAAATAAATATTTTCAGGGCTTTTTTCTCCTAAATCCAGCCAATTCCAGAAGTCTATCATTCAACACGTGCAAATGAGCTGACTGTACAGATCGTGCTACAGTGACAGATAGGGCAGCCACATGCTGTGACGATTTGAAGAAGTTGTTTTAAGATGGTGCTGCAATCAGATTAGCCTGAATGTCCTTCAGTTTGGTCAGAATTAAATTGAGCTACAGTATTTACAACCGGTAAAGTAATAACAAAACCGCTTCAGAAGAGTCAAACTCATTTTTTAGCACTGTCCTCCTTCACAGAAACCTACATTCTGTCTGAACCTTCTGAAACACATCAGTTTGTTTTCAGCTGCTGATTTGTTGTTTGTGTCGTTCAGTCTGTGATCCCAACAAGACAGGTGTTATTGTTACAGACAGAAATCAGGATGAGTTCTGTCAGATCAAACCCAGGCTTGTCTTTAAGTGGAACCAGATGTTCAAATTCAATCCAGCATAAAAAAGGAGGATTCAGGAGACTGATGCTGCTCAGACGGGATGTTACTCTGCAGGAAATCATCTGAGGCTCAGTTCAGCTTCTTTTCAAAAAATTTTTAAGTTGTTTGTTTTTTATTTTGTGTTGTGAAAATATATTTATGAGTTTGACGGTCAGTCATCGCTGACAGATCAAACACGGGAAGTCTATAAAGAGAATAACAAAAAGAACTGTTGCATATTTGTGTGTCTGTTAGGAGGAGGAGTCAAAGACAGTAGGAGGAGCTTACAGACAGCTTCGTTGACTGCCGACAGAGCTGCTGCGACTTCACCCGCCTGCTCCAAACGCAGCGATTGGTCCAGCAGAAGCTCCGCCTCTGACACACACCTGTCAAAGCTGTCACTTTTACCTACACACACACACACACACACACACACACACACACACACACACACACAC